AGCGTAAAGTTGTAATAAATATGGCGACAAGATGAGGTCAAGTCCAAATAATTTATAAAAAAATAAACACGTAAATATAATTGATATTAATGATAGCCAATGGAGGGAAAAAATGAATTTCAAGAAACCTAGAGCCAGTAAGCATTCCCTCTGTAAACAGAGGGATGTCTCTCGGGATCTGATATACAAGGACTCTAGAAACTTGAGTTGATATGAGGAGTGGGACCTCGATAAAATCGAAAAACGGTCCACCCTAAAATCAAAGACACAATTCATACTATTTATAACATTAATTAGTTGACTTCTCCTGGCATCTGGATTCAAAATCCTGGTGGATAAGTGATGTGATTTTTATATCCCAGAAATAAACTTGATAAGGCTGGGACTAAACCGATTTTTTTTTTTAGCTTTTAAAATATACATTAAAATGGCATATAAATTTTGCTTAACTATACTTAAATTTTGTACTATATATATATATATATATATATATATATATATATATATATATATATAGGGGTGTTGTTTATGTGTGTATGAATGTCTGTGTTTTAATGTTATCTATTTATCCTTCAAAAGAAATCCAAGTATAGCCATTTATTATCAATTATAAAATAAATTTGAATTTCTCTTTTTAATTTACCTTTACCAGATTAAGTTAAAGCAATAAAAAATGATCGGATACTGCGTTAACCCGTGAGATAAGGTATTATTGTCGGTAATTAGCTTTATGCAATGTAATGCTTTACAAAAGTGATGAAGAATTGTAGTTAGTAAATACCTATGCCCGTCTGCGTATTGCCTTAATAGTTTTTACTTAGATATCATCTCGTTGACGAGCAGTAATAGAGGCATATTCAGTTTCCATTGAATATGAATAGAGAATAATTTGAAAATGATAATGAAACATCATAGATTTCTTGGGAATATATATCAGTACTGGATTAAATTGTATATGATATGTTCGAAAGGTATTATGGCAAATTGCTAAACTAGAAAAAGTGAAACTAATAAATGTTGTTGATGTTGCTTTTTTATTTTTTCTTTAATAAATCGGTGTTATCAAATCATTTACAGCTTCAAAATTATTCTTCTCCACGCACACATTCGACCTCTCTCTTTTTATCTCTCTCTCTCTCTCTATCTATCTATCTATATATATATATATATATATATATGTACCATTAATGCATATTTCATTAAATAATATACTCAAGTTTTGTTTATTTATTTTAAGTAAGTTCCTTTCATATTGTCTGATAAGCTTAATACCATTATCATTGAAAAACTGTTTTATGTATATAGCTTCAAGAATTTTTGATTTTTGTTTATTGTTTTCATATTTAAGTGTAGTTGTGTTTTCAAACAGTAGAAACCTAATCTGAACAAAATAAACTATCTATCTCCACAAAAATTCTTAAATGCATATAATTGATAACAGAAGGCATTGATTTATAACAACGGCTTCCTATACTTAATATTTCTCGTATTCACTCTGGGGTACTCATGTGTGACGTCACGAGCTGAAACGCGATTTTCGCTTCCGCGTCTCGTATGCTCGAGTTAGTCGTTGCTTTGAAAATTTTCATGCAAAAAAAAAACAATCATTATTGTTTCGTCCGTGTGTTGGTTGATATATTGAAAAGCAATTGTCATCTTTGATAATGGCTTATGTAAGCCGAAAGCTTAGATTGGGTTTAAACATATATCATTATGGTGACTTCCTTTCGTCTTTCAATGATAATGTTATTAATACAATATTATTTAATGAAACATGCATTAAAAGAAAAATTGTTGCTGAAATATACACTATATATACATATATATATATATATATATATATATATATATATATATATATATATATATATATATATAAAAAAATATAAGGATAAGAACAAAACACCTACGATTAAATGGAGTTTGGTTACGAAAGCTCGTACTTGTAACTCCCCTATATACCCCATGTTACCTATGCCTTAATGAAAAATTTGAAATTATTAGATTTAAAAAACAAGGCTGATCTCTTAAATCAAAGATATGAACTGACAGTAAATTGTAAACACCGTTATAAATTTAACTTAGTGTAGGGGTCATTTACTTTAAATGATAATGATATGTCGCTGTATTTTTAATAGATTAGTATTTTTATTGCATAATGGTCATACTTACGATATAAGTGTGTATTGCTTACCTGCATAGTGTTATCAGTGTTGGTGTAAATATATATATATTTATTTATGTGTTGGTTAGAGTATTTGCACTGAGGAATGTGTAGGTTGGTGTATAAATGTATTTATGTTTTTTTTTTTTTTTTTTTACATGTGAGGGTGTATGTGGGGTATGTATGTATATATATGTGAGTGTGTGTGTATATATGTATATATATATTATGTGGGAAAAAGTAAGGTAGATTATGAGAGAAAAAGGTTAATAATTATTACTGTATATGTGTATGTGTGTGCCTATATATGTATGTGTGTATGGGTGTGTGTATATATGTATGTATTTATTTGTGTGTGTATGTGTATATATGTATGTATGTATGTAGAGATATATATATATATATATATGTTTGTATATATATATGTATATATATATATATATATGTGTGTATGTGTGTATATGGTTGGATATATATATATATATATATATATATATATATATATATATATGTGTGTATATATATATGTGTGTGTGTGTGTGTGTGTATGTATGGTATGTATACAGTATGTATATGATTAAATCACGACAGTATAATGGTTAGCCAGCATGGTTCACTAGATTGGGTGCGACTGAGTAATGAGTTCGTTCCTCACGGGACGCCCCTTGATTTCAGCTTTGTGCCACAATATATTTGTATATATATGTATGTGTATGTGTGTATGTATGTGTGTATATATATATGCGTGTGTGCATATATATATATGTGTATATATATCTGTATGTCCTATTTTATTGTGTATGTGTATTTATATTTAAGTATATTTCTGTTTGTATGAATGTGTTTATATATTTGTATGTTAGACTATATGTATATTGCTGTGTGTTGGTGTTTGAAGGTATATTTATGTATCTATATGTTAGTTCGTTTATATATGTATTTGGTTGAAAGTTGTTGTATTTTTATGTATGCATGTATATATGGGTGGTTGTTATTGCAGGTAGATATATTTATGGATATATATATATGTTTATTTGTAGATATGTATGTATGTGTGTATATATATTGACTGTTTTTTATATATCTAAGTATGTGTGCATAAAAGTCTATGTGTGTATATATGTGTGTGTATTTAGGTCTATATGTATATGTACGTACATATGTACTTGTTATCATAGATATGTATATGTACGTATATGTTTATGTTTATATATTTATTCGTGTGTATTTCTGTACGTATATGTATGTATGAATATATATATATATTTTTTTTTTTTTTTATGTGTGTTAATTTGTTTTTTTTTGCTGCCGTGTATATATATATATATGTATATATGTATATATTTGTGGATTTCTTTATCCTGTTTTTCTTTTGCCAAATATATAATGAAACTATTATCAACTTATATGATTAATAATATATATATTTTTTATTGATATTTATTGTTTTAGAGTTTTCGTTTTAATATATTAAATAATATTATTTTTAAACATTTTTATCTTTATATATTTGCTCCCTTAAGTTATAATTCAATAAGTGGTTAGCATTTATTTAAGTCTGAAATATTTACTGGTTGTGATTTCTCAATGTCTATGCCATTGTGGATGTATGTTTGTGTACATATCGGTGTCTATGTGTATGTAGAGTGTATTCACATTTAACTGTGTGTGTGTATAAGTGTTAGTTTCACGTCTCCTTTTTTCGTAAAGGGCTGTGGAGTTGTTCATGTATTCCCCCACCTCTTTCTTTTTTTTTTTTTTTTTTTTTTTTGTGTGTGTGTGTGTATTTTTGTGTGTGTGTGTGTGTGTGTGTATGTATCTAATTATGTCTGGATGCGTATGTATTATAATCTGATTGTGTTTTTTGTTGTGTCACGCGTGAGTTTAAGACCATATTCACAAACTTTAAAAATAAAAAACGGAAAAGAAAAAAAAATATACATGTATTATCAGATGACCGGACGAATTGTAGCTTTTTGTCTTGTCAGACGTAATTTCAATGAAGAAATGAATTGAATAAACATATATATTTTTTTCTTTTCTCAATAATTTTGTAGTTTTTAAACTTAATAGTGATTAAATTTGGATTTTTAAAATTGCCAGTTTTTAATTTTAATATTAAATTTTATCATATAAATTTATAATTATTAGTTAGTAAAAATTATTTTTAATATTACACGTATTTAAAGATCTAAATAGCTATAATAGCAGGATTTTGTTGTCAAGCTTTTGAATCTTTCTGTACTTCGTTTTGATTGGTTATTCTAGCTTTTGTAACAATGCTCCCCCCCTAGTGTAGGATCGTTAATTCATCTGAAACTTTTAAAACCATTTATTTTCTTTTCAACACCATCACTTGATAAGACACAGAGTGTGTTGAAACAAAATGGCTATTTTTGTAGTGATTTTATAACATACTTATGTTATAAATTTTTTTTTAAAAAATTATTATATATATATATATATATATATATATATGAAGAAATATAGTCTTAAGATATGCTATATTTATGCGATAAAGTGCTCAATATCAGAGATAGAGCGTGTGTAAATATAAAAGTGAACATAAAAGTCAACACTTAGAGGCGTGACGATTGCATCTAGCATGAAACAGACTGCCGCCTCTAAGTGTCGATATATATATATATATATATATATATATATATATTCGCCTCGTAGAACACAAACCAGTTATTATTTACATTATTCGGACTATTGTCCTCATCTTCGTTTCGGGCGTTGTACGCTCCGTCCTTCTTCAGTTGGTTGGAAATATAGACAGATACAAGCCAGTTATGTATGGTCCTCAGAGAGTAGTACACTAACAACAGAAGCAATGACTTTCTTCCTGCATCATACCGACTACGTAAGTCTATCTATCTATCTATCTATCTATCTATCTATCTATCTATCTATCTATCTAATATCCGCCAGTCTATCTCTAACTATCTATTCAATTATGCCTCCAATGCAAACAAAGGTAAGCAAAATTTAATGTTTCTATGTTTACTATTGTACGCATCCCATATATTCATATAAATATGTATTTGGGCAGCACTCATTCAATATTAAGCAATCAAACAATATTATTTACGAATTTATATGTACCTTAAGGAGGCATGTTTCTGACCAATCCAAATTTTTAAACAGTTGTACAAGATATCCTAGAACATTTACATTATTTACTTTTAAATTATCTCTCCAAGTTTTTGTTCAACCCTGCAATATCCAGGTATTAAACTCACAACTCTTTGGCTCATGCCACTGGACTCAACCAACGCTTTTATCCACTGGACCAGGAAGACATCATTGTATCAATTTTGGGGACATAAACTTAATTTGCCAGCGCTCATATTGCAATTTACTTTTTTTTAGTATCCCGCATTACTGGTAACCATATTGTATTCATTACTATATTTAGTCGACTTAGGAGATTTTCCTGCCTTAAATTCCTAAATTCCTTAAATTTTCGTATTTTTCAGTGATGTTCTCTATTATTTCAACCTCAGGCTACAGGGATCTCCCTTTCCTCTTCATATGTGGTCAGCTACACCTGATTTTTCTATTTTTCCTCATTCTTTAAGATGTTATTGCAGTCTTATCTTAAGAGAGCGGCATGTTTCTCCTTTATATTTCTTACCACAACTCCACGGGATGGCGTACACACAGTCTTTAGTCATGTTCTCTTCTTTGGAGTCTAACTCAGAAGATGTGTCTTTGAAAGTCGTCCTGGTGTATACTGTATACCGATAATCTCTTCACATAGGGTAGGAAGACTGTAGCTGTTTTCTGAGTGTTTGTCAGAGCTGGTGCCATATTCCCATGGTAGGTTACGTTGTAGGGTACTGCTTATACTGATTATATCTTGATCATATATGCCTGGGTCGCCATTTATGATTTTGCTCGATGCAGCGGAAGATACCTTTCTTTTCATTGTAGGGGTGGTGGCAGTTGAAAATGAGGTATTGTCCGCTGACTGCTGGCATGTAGTTTACGGATGTCTTTAAGACATGCTCTGTTCGAAATATTAGTACATCCACGAAAGAGATTTTTGTCGTTTTCTCTCTCCATTGTGAACTTATCGACGATCTTTTTATATCTTATTATCTTATTATATTATTATAGTTCACATGGTTCAATAGTAGCCCTCTTCCTGGTGTGGCCAGAGTATGAAGGTGTGATGTACATATCCCTGTCATAAGGTTGGCTTTAGTGATGTGAATTATAATGCCATTTCTTTGAAGTATTCCATATATATGCATGCCATTGCTGGTGAATATGACGAGCCCATCGCCAAGCCTTCATCTTGTCGATATATGTCTGATCCCATTCCGAAATGTGCTGCTTGTGTACAGCAAATCTTTTCGTAAACTGGTCTGTTCTCCCAGGGAAGAGTGCCTCCCTCGTGGTTACCTTCGTGAACAAAATCGCCAGGATCACCATCTGGTTGGATTGAATGGGAGCATCTCTGATTATTTCAATGAAGTGGGCGGAGTTTTGAACATATGAAAGTGACTTTACTTTTAATGGGTAAATGATATCTACAAGGAATCGACTCAGAGGGTGGCATACAGAACCTTGGCAGCTAACAGTCAGACTGAACGGAATAGCGTATTTGTGAATTTTAGGGAAACCGTATATGTCAGTCACCTTGGTGTAACGCTGTGACAACTGCCTGTATCTCTTAGATGGGAGGTGGTCCTTGTTCTTGATTAGGGTCTGCGACAGTTTTCGTTCTGTTTTCATTGCTTGATCTTTCCTTACTTTACCGTAGATAGAATTTTTAAAAAAGAAAAAGCCAACATTCAATAATGTAAGCTATGAATACGACTACAATGTGCTGACCGTGTGTCTGTGTGCGCGTGTGTCTGTGTGTGTGTGTCTGTGTGCGCGTGTGTCTGTGGGTGCGTGTGTGTCTGTGTGTCCGTCTGTGTGCGTACGTGTGTGTACGTGTGTGTACGTGTGTGTGTGTGTGCGCGTACGTGTGTGTGAATGTGTGTGCGTGGGTGTCTGTGTGTGCGTGTGTGTGTGTGCGTACGTGTGTACTTGCTTGTGTGTGTGTATATGTGTGTTCGTGTGTGTGCGTCTGTGCGCGCGTGTGTGTGCGTGTGCGCTGTGTGTGTATGCATGTACGTGCACGTGTGCGTGTGTGTGAGAATGTGTGTGTGTGTGGCCTGACATAAATGGAAGAAAACATCATCTCTTAGTGCAAGTAGACTTACAAGAATCGCATGTATAAAGATGAAATTGTTTTGTAACTTTGGCGATAGAGTCCTTCATATACGCTCCTATAATGACTATTGATTTTCCTTTCATAAAGGATCTTGCTATCCTAGACAATCTTCGTATGCGAAAACCAATGCTTACCGTGATGTGAAGCAGTTCAAAGAATTTTTGAACCTACAGATTAGAACCAACCTAAAGAAAAATCTTTTTTTTTCCCCAAGTACTACCTTTGAAACCTTTCTCACGACTAATCCTGCCTTTTGCGTTGATGAATATAGATTTCTTTCATGTGCAGTATTCCTTCAGGAATTGGCCGATCAGAGCTGGCCACGAATTTCTCTCCTCTCCAACTCTGTTCATCTTTTAATCACCCTCCCCATTCACTGTGCCGCTATACATTAACACAAGCACGTTAGGTAGGTTATTCACTGTTTCTGTCTATCTATCTTGCCTTCAGTATCTCCCATGGCGGGTGGGGGGTGTCGATTGTTTCTTTCTGATTCTAAGTATATGTGACTTTTTGTTTCAATTTTCCTTAAAACTTCCACGTTAAGTTCATTTAATTTTCCTTCTGTAGAATTACATCTCCTTGCCATAAGTCGCTTCTTCATCTGTAATTTTTTTCCAGTATCCACTACCATATAGGATGACTATATAATAAGTCAGGACTCTTTCTTTGTTTCCTACTATATTTTCCTTTTTTTTAAATTCTTTTAGTTTTAGGGAGCATCATTTTTTTCTATTCTGATATAGCTTGGGATTCCGGTGTCATTTTTTGTTATCTGTTAAAACACATCCAGATGTTTCATCTACTGTACTTTTCAAATTTCTAATTCGTATGTAGTAACTTGAGCTGTCCTTCTCTCTGTCAACCATGCATTCTGTTTTCTTACAATTAACATTTATTTCTTTCCTCTTTCTTTTACGATATTTTCTAAGGGTTCTGCAGTTCCCTTTCTGTATGTCGCATAAATACCGTTTCATTTCCTAACATATGTTGTTAGAATTGATCCGCACAAAAATATATCACGGTCGCACTTGTACTTCTTTGAGGATAGCCTTATTGCAAACATTGGATAAAACCGCTAAGCAAACAAATTTTTCCTACGTCTCTTACTATTTGGTGTAATCAGTTCATATTTGTACACAGTTTGATCCCAATATAATTGCTGGTGTTCCCATGTCCAACTTGACGATAAACTACATACGCGTCTTGGGTAAGACGATAAACTACGTCCAACATCAAGGCCTCTGATCAGCAGTTTTTTCAGGAGCGTGGAAACACCTCTTAATTGCTGGTGTTTCCATCTCCACACTGACCCGGGGTGGTAGCACCTGTCAGGATCCCCTCTATGGGCAAGTAGTTAACACCCAAACTTGGGTCAAAATACTATGAAAGTGTAAACATAAATTTTAATAATAGGATTTTGAAGGAAAAATTATTACCAGCAATACATTTTTGAGGAAAAAAAATTACCAGCAATACATTTTTGAGGAAAATAATTACCAGCAATACATTTTTGGAAAAATATACCAGCAATAAAAATATTGTCGGCATTAAATAACCCATTGAGGTTGATATGCCGTAAAATGAACCAAACCAAATCCAATATAAGTTCTGAATAATTCTAAAATAGTTCCTTAATAAATAAAGTTTTCCTCACAGTTCAAATAGTTCTTTGTGCCGTACATTATGAAATTATTTTATGTAGACTATGAAGCAGATATAAAGGTCATCCAGCTTTTGCATTATTCTCTCCGGTATCAAGACGTCTAAATAATATCCCAAAAATAAAATTGTCCAAAATATCACATTTGGTCAAATTTAGAATACATAGAAAATGGACTCGTAATTATGTGTGCCATTGAAGCTGACAGAGGAATGCGTTTAGTTTCGTTGCTAGAACAAATATTTTGTCACTTCAAGTCTCCTCGTTTTCTCAAAGGAAGTTGTTTAGCCTTGTAACTACTATATAGGATATTAAATATTATAAATGAATAATTATCCATGATGCCAGAATAAAGCAACGCGTTCTAACGAAAATCCGAAACCTTAAGTACACTCCTTCAGACACTTTGACCAATACATACGGGTCTTCCATCGCAGAACACTTTATAAATAGCCATAATTGTGTTGCTAGATTTAGTGTTGACTTATTTACCATTCTTAGCAGGTCCCACTCGAATTGCCACTTATAAGTGTTGTAGGCCATTTATATTCTATCGTTGAAGCATTCTCTGTGTAAACAGGACTACTAAGCATTCTCTGTGTAAACAGGACTACTAATTTTCATCTAAACAATATTTTTTTTCCTTCTTTATTTTCTTTTCTCCAATAAATATTGATCATTTTTTAGTGATAATTCAGTTTCTTAACATCGATTTCGTTCTGTTGAGCGAGGTTCGAATACGGTTAGCTAGCCCGTTTTTCAGTTTTACTTTTTTTATTTATTATTGCCATGAGTGATAATAAAATATTTTTTGTCTATTTATGGCAGTTACAGTTTTGTACCACAAAACAAAAATATATATATATATATATATATATATATATATATATATATATATATATATATATATATATATATATATATATATATATATATCTGACGATTGCGTGAAAGAATGTAACTGGCACTAGTGGCTGGTTACTGTGCACCAGAAATTTAATTCATGATATATTACAGCTCTGACATTTTATATGACATGGATCACTTTTACTTTCTGGTGTGCATCCACAGCAGATTTTGGCAG